AAAAAAAAAAAAAAAAAAAAAAAAAAATTTAATTCGCCACGTTGCCCTGGTGCGGGTGGAGGCACATTTCCTTGGGCAGGCTACCCCTTGACTCCACCGTGGCCCCCGCTGCACATCCTCAAAAGCAACAAATGAAGAGGCCAAAATGAAGCCAAAAAAATATACAAAACAGTGAGCAGTTATACAAAATAAACACACAAAAGGGGGAGGAAGAAAAATCTTAATACAATGCAGATATTTTACATGAATGGGGAAGCGTGCTCCAACTTGGAGTCAGCATGTCACCTCCCCCACCGGCAGGCCACTTCCTCGTACAACTTCTGCCTCGCCGATGAGACAAAGGCAAAAATGTTCATTTTGCACACACCACGCCATTCTTCCAAACATTGGGTTACAGGAACAGTGGGTGAAGAAATTCGCGTCTCCTCTCGGAAGAGGTAAACCTAACTTGGGTCCAAAAAGTCGCACCCCACCCAGCCCTGTTGTAATTATCACCAGCGTGAAAGACGCATATATTGTGTATGGGCTGCGCATTTATACGTTTGCACCCCGTTATCATATAGTGTGCCGCGTAGGAGCCGCGTAGAAGCAGCTTAACAGGTACTCACCGCCGCTCCCCCACGATAAACGAAGGCGGACAAATAAAGCAACTTGAGCCACCGCGTGGGGAAGTAATCTCGCACGAAAGGGACGTACACCGCATGCTCCGTGCTCACGTTCTGTAAATCAAAAAGGGCGCAGAGCTCGCTCAGCTCGTCTGACCCGATAAACTGATCGTAGCTGTGTGTTCCCTGCGGGCGAAGGGGGAAAAATATATATATACATATATATATATGTATACAAGAGGAAAAAGTAAAGGCCAGCACGCAAGCATATTGAAAGGGAACACCTTAGAAAACGTGCATAGGCCAAAGGGGAGGGAAAGCAAAATGACACACAAAAAAGGTGTTCCTAACACCGCTCATCAGTTACCTTTTTCACCATCCCGGTCACATACTCAGCAAGTACAACAGAGTAAAAATAAGAAAGCAAATTCTTGTCAAGCGTTGTAAAGACAACCAGAGCCTCAGGGGAACATAACTGGCTGATGCACCTTACGAACTCCTCCTTCTTCCCATTAGGCACATGCTCAATCACTTCCGACGACACCACGATGTTATATTTTTTTCCCTCCCTCTCATTCCATTTTGTGAGCTCAGTTATGTCACAGTTATAGTACCTCTGATTTATGTGCACATCTAAGTTGTTCCATGAGGCGCTCTTTGTTTCCCTATTCTCCCAGTTGGGTTCTTTTTCCGGATGAGATGATTGAGGGTTCATGTCTCTTGCTGTGTTACACATGTATAAAGGAACTTCCCCCTCCTGCTGTCTCCTGCGCGCCACCTCTATCAGCTGACTGGACACATCAATCCCCTCGATATTTATATGAACCGTCCTCCTTGCACCTCGTCCTATTATGTCACTCTTGAGCAAAAAATAAGAAAAGTTCCTCCGCATGTATTCGCATAATATGCCGCCGCCACAACCCACATCCAGAACATTTATCGTGATGTCGTTTTTTTTTTTTTTTTTTTTTTTTTCTGTTCCCGCTTGTCCCTCATTTTTCATTTGCTCGAAAAAAAGAAATTCGTAATTTTTACATATAAAGTTGAACCTGTGCTTGTTATAATCGTGAAGGCTGTACGTGTTTGCCCCTGCAACCTTGTGAAGTACATCACACCAAGACGTGTTACCCTTCCCTTGATCATTCCACCACTCGCTGTGCATCTGGTCGAAGAAGACTCGTTCTCTCTCGTCAAATGTTTTGTTCCTGTGCTGCCTGCGCAGAAATGGCTTCCCCGCATGTCCAACTTTCCCCCCACTTGGCTTAAGCCCCCCCCTCAATAAGTGCTGCATTCGCGAGGGGGGGAGCGGCAGAAGTGGGCGACAACAAATGTGCAATTGCACAGTTACGCTTCCAATGCGGACATGTAGCCATGCCGATATGCAGCCATGCACATGCGCGGCTGAGCCCCACGTCGACCACTCAGTTGCAGTCGCGCGGGCAAGTACACACAGCTCTGTCGCACATGCTATAGTATCTTTGCCAAAAGGAATAAAAAAAAAAAAAAAAAAAAATCACAAAGAAGAAAAAAATCACGTACTGCCTCTTCGCACAGGAGCCGCTAACTCCTCAGTGACAGAAAAAAGATTAATATTATAATTCTGTTCGCCGCTACTGTCCCCTCGTTGGCTCTACTTAAAAGGTGTGGTGCACCTTCCGCCCTTTCCCCAACTTATTATTTTACCAACTCGTGCAAGTCTCTCTCTCCTGTGAGAAACATTTTTGCCAATTGCCCCGCGGCGCTGTTGTGTGGGTGCATTTGTAGCCTCTCCGCACAGCTGTGCAAGGAGATAAAAATGGGCCAGTCCCACAAACACATTGAGGGCTTGAAAAAAAAAAAACGCTTTGCGAACCGCCTTGCGGAATTCCTCATATGTAGAGTCTTGTTTCCATTTTTGGTGAGAAAAAAAAAAAATTCTCGTTAATGTGCAGGAAGGACTGTGCGCGCTGCAAGTTGGGAAATGCCCAGGAAAAAAAAAAAAAAAAAAAAAAAGAGGACAATAAATTAAAGCAGTTAAAGTAGCTGAACAAGTTGAAGTAGCTGAACAAGTTGAAGTAGCTGAAGAAGTTGAAGAAGCTTGAGAAGCTTAAGAAGCTGAAGGGTGAAACTTAAGAACGGCCAAGTGACCCGCACAAGAGCCCTCGAAAGCCACAATGGGAGGGCCGCAAGATGGGGGGACGCAGGACGCGACCGCCCTGTACGACGAACTCTACCTCCTATTCGACGACTACATTGCACAAAACAGCAAACAACCCAGCACATACGAGTCCCTCTTTCACAAAAAGGACTTTCTGGAATTTGCAAAGTTCCATGGCACCACCACACTAGTACCTTCCCCCCCAAAAGTGATAAAGAACAAAGACGAAATAATAGACGAGCTCATTTACGCATTTAAGCTCTTCGCAAAATACACCAGCATGTGTGATTTTTTCTCCAACAATGAAGAATTGGATGATGTAAACACCAAATATTTAAAATTCCTCCTCATCCCATACATACTGGGGGTTCTATGCTATGAAACTATTAGCATGGAAATCAGAAGCGATCGATTGAAAGAGGCAAAATTGTATTTTGGTGAATTCATTAACGTGGTTAATGTATATCATATAGCCCCAGTGGAAGATTACCTCCTGGATGAGGGAGGGGATACGTCACAGGCGATGAACAGGAGGAACATAAAGGTTAAAAGAGCCAAGGACGAAAAGAAATTTCAGGAATTCTATGAGGATATGATTAAAATGAATGTGAAGAAAAGTACCTCCCAGAATTATAACCCTTCCCTCTTCGCTCATCACATGGACGAAGAACAACTTAGGGAGCTGTATCTCTCCTTGATCAAGTGCAAATGCCTGCAAACGCTTAACATGATTGACTTGCTTGACACGGAACTGGAGGTCTTGGAAATGCGCAGCAAGCATAACGGACAGCTTACACATGATGTGAAGCAGCCACATGATGGGCAAAAACCTCACACCAACCACACAAACGATGGGGTCAAAAAAAAACCCTGGCTCTTCACCATTAAAAAAAACATGCCTCTTGCGGACATGACTGAAATGAGGAACTACTACAGGGACCTCGTCTTCACACCCGCACACAACTTACCCACCATATCACTTGAGGAGTGCGCCAAAATTGAAATGCAATACGCCCTCAAGGGGGAGGGGGAGGGCAGGGCGCTTGGCAACGAAGAGGAACGGAAGGGAAGCCCAAAGGACGGAACGAAAAAGGGTCCTGCGCAAAATGGCGCCGATGATGAAGACGATTACGAAAAGTGTTCCACGGACGAAAGCGAGAAGGAGGTCATGGACAGGGCATGGGACGACTGGAAAGATATGCACCAGAAAGGGATTGGCAACAAAAACAGAAACGTTGCCTGACATGGAGACGCGGTGTATACACTTTCATATTATCGCGCCCAAGACAGGTGTGCATTCTTCCTTGGGGTGCTGCGCTAATGCGTGAAGCAGTCATGAGGAGGATGGCCGCACGAAGGAAAAAGTGGGAGGAAGTGCATGACCGGGGAAGCAGCAAAAAAAAAGGAGGGGAAAAAGACCGAGCGGACAAATAAAACTAAATTACTTGAAGGACTAAAGACGAATTGGCGGAAGAATTCCCCCACAGCATGCACAGGCGCACACACGCGCATTCCATAATTTACTATTGTAGGCACCCACCTTGGCGCGAAAAAAAAAAAAAAAAAAAAAAAAAAGTGAAATGGGAAGGGTGAGGGACGAATTGTTCGCTTTACTTCCTATTTAGCTTCGCGTTTTTTTTTTTTTTTTTTTTTCGTTTCCATGCCTGCACGTCCACGAGTCACTCAATTTTTTTGTTAGCAAAATTGTGCATGTCCATTTTCCCCCGCACATCGGGCGACTGTTCATAGCACATGTTTTAAGCTTTTTTCCCCTCACGGGATGTAACCTCCCGCGAGAATCCTCCATGTTGGGAAATCATTCCGCCAGTGCCTGCACAAAATTGTGTGTAAAGAATTGTCGCCAAAATTGCGTGTTTATCGCTGTACACCAGTGTGGGGACCCCTTCACGATAACGGGAAAAAAAAAAAGGAGGTACAAAGTCTAACTTTTACCCCCTGAATGAGATGCGTCACAGTACGGAGAAGCCACCTGTGCGCGCATTTGTATATATGTACACATAACAGTTACGTGCTAATTTAGCATGCTGTTGTTTTGCTTGTTTTTTTTTTTTCCTTTCGAACAAAAAAGGCGCATCCTCCACAGCGTTTTTTTTTTTTTCGCAACACACAAGAAGAAATTCTTAACCGTATTATTTTTTTTATGGAAGGCACTTCGCTCAGTTATATACGCGAAAAAAAAAGGTTTCCTTTAGTGCAATTCCCTTGTTGCTCTGAGGAACACCCTCCTAACCCCAAGGGGGAACAAACAAACTTTAAAACAACGCGTAGCTCGCCAAAAGTGAAAAAAAAAAAAAAAAAAAAAAAAATAGCCAGCATAATATAAGCACTCCGCCGAACGCAGCGCTACTCCGCTATTGCCCTGTTGCTACCTTAACCCTGCAAGGTAAGCATACAAGGCTATGTGCGCACATGCTTAATGTATTTATGAGCCCCACACCAAACGAGGCATAACCCATGCATGTGCTTCATGTTCCCCGTTCCCCATTCACGCCTCAAACAAAAAGGAGGGTGAATTGTACTGACGGTGCATTTGCCTCCTCTTTTTTTCGTTTCCCCTTTTTGCCGTGTCAGGCTCAATAAAGGAAAAAATACTCACATCACATTTCTTGCGCGCCCGTTGCGTCCCTTCCCTTGCTTCGCCCTTTGTTAAACACTTTGCTTTTTTCCCCACGACAAGAGGTGCGGAGAGTGCTGAAGCTGATGCGTAGCCAGCCAACCGGCATGTATTAATAAAAAAAAAAATAATAAAATAAAAAGTACAAAAAAAGAAGAAATGCAATGAAGAAACAAATGTTCGTACCCCATTTTTTTTTTTTTTTTACGTATCTTCTCCCCTGGCACAGCCCCCCACTATGAGTTCACACGCCCTTTTTTAGTGATACCTCCAAAATGAACCCCCGCCAGTAGTATAGGAAGAAAAAAAAAAAAAAAAAAAAACATCTTCATGCTACTGACCATACGACAATTTCACATGCGCGTATGCGCAAGTCCCCTTCATGTGCCCATTTTTTTACCCATAAATATTCGTGCTCGGGCGATTATGGCCAGCGGCGGAAAAGTGCGTCATATCTCTGTGCCTTCACTTGGGGGACGAAGTAACTAAAAGTACTTGACACAGTTTTGTGTCAGTCGTACATATGTATATATATATGTATATGCATGTATATATGTGTATGCCAGCCTCCCCCCCCCCACCTTCGCATTAAACACAACGCACAAGTCGTTGTAGTGCAAAACTTAGACGAACGAATTATATAATCACCAAGCGGACAATTAAGTCCAGCTCATGTGTAAACTATATTGTATGAATGAGTACATCCCTTCACGAAAAGGAAGCACGCAAAAAATGGTGCAGCGTGTTTTTGGTGCGTGAAAGCTTGTTATGGCCCCCGTGTCACTATGTACCACTGTGTGCCGTAGGGGGTCTCTCCTTCACAATGCCTTCACTCTATCATAGCCACTCCCCTTTTCGCCATTTCGTTCGTCCACGTACATGTGTTCCCCCTCACACACAGCGAGCACTTTTTATTAAGCACGCAAGTGTAAAGTAAAAGAGGGGTGTAACAACCTCTTCCTCGGGAAGTAGTTCAATCATGGTAACGGTGTGACGTGTCAGAGGTAGCGAACAAATGTGCCTCACGTGAGCAGTGTAAAGAATTTCTTGTTTCTTCTTCTTTTTTTTAGCTGTTCTTATTTGTTTTTCGTAAACGCCATTTTGGCACCAGAGCATATTTTGACCTTTGGGCTTGTCACCGAGGTCGTGCCTGCGGGGACGGGCCACTTCACACAAGCGTAGTTAGCCCATGGTGCAATTTTTTGTTTTCATCAACGATGTTTTTATTTATTTTTTTTTTTTCTTGGAGGGGGATCGCTTAAACGAACAGTATTCCCCTACACACACACGCACGGGTCTACAAGTGCATTGAGCAAACGCGATAACTGCAGGGAAGGAAAGGCCATCCCGATGAAGCGATAAGAGGCTGGCCCTCTTCCGAAGCTGCTTCGTTTTTTACACTGAGGATGCAGCCTTTTGTTCCCTTGCGAATTGTTCATGCAGAAGACCTTTCTCCTCCATAGGGTTTTTCCCTTTTACATGTTGCGTTTCCGCATCTGTGTTACCTTTTTTTCCCCCCCCCACACACACTCATCTGCTTGCCCGCATTTGCCTCGTCTCATCTGCTTGCACGCATTTGCTTCCATTCAACTGCCCCCACTCATCGCGCAGTAGTCGAACTAAATGACGACGACCTGCATGGCCATCATGGAAGCGGAAGAGATGAACTTCCAACCGATGGAGGCGGGCTCTCCCACCAGAGAACACAGCCCCAGTTGTGATGTCCATAAGGAAAAGCACAACCGAAAGAGGAAGAAAAATGTAAACAATTCCACTTTTGTTAATCTACGAGATTGGACAAACAAAGTACAAAAGAGGTACGAGAAGAAACGTAAAACATCACAACAGGGAATAAATAAGGATAAAAAAAATTCGTTACCCAATGGTGAACCGGAGAGCAATTATCTCTCCTCCCATTCTTCCTCCTCCTCCTTTAACTCAAGATCCAGCTTGGGTAATAATATTAATGTCTCCTCCGATGAGTCCAATTACGACTCTGATATCGAGCAGCGGATTTGCAGATTTTTGAAGTTAGAGAATAGTAACACGGGAAGGAAGAGGAAAAAGAAGAAAAAGGAAAATGCTCCTGAGGAGGGGGCAGCTGTCGACCCACTTGACGATGCACATAACGATGTAGTTAACGACCCACTTAACGATGCACATAACGATGCAGTTAACGACCCACTTAACGATGCAGCTATAGAGGGCGGCGTCGATGGAGAAGCCCATGCAGATGTGGACGCGGACATGTACCCAGTTGAACATACCAATGTCGTTGTCGACGTGGTGGTCAATGAGCTAGCCGATGAGCTGGCCAATCAGCTGGTCGATGTGGGAGGAAACTCCAGAACAATGAACGACGGGACATTTAACACTCTCGAAGCAACCGCGCTCGAGGACGACCATTCTGTCAACCCAGTCAATAAACACACACAAAAGGAAAAACGAGAGTCAGAACATTTGCACGAAGGGCCTGTGCAGACCAATGAAGAACAAGAGAGTAGTAGCGACACGATGAATGAGAAAACGGATCACAGTAGTAACAGTAATGAACAAATGGTCAATGAAGATAATGAAAATAATATTTACCTCAAGGAGGATAATAGTATTCCTAATGGGGATGACAAATACGATAATGGAAGCCAAGGGGGAAACCTTTCCCCGCGTAGTAATACAGAGGAGGAAGGGGATAATGTCGAAGGGCCTATTAAGGAAACATATGGAGTCACCTCGGAGGAAGTCATCGTACAGGATGAGAACCTGGTAGACGGCACAAGTACGCCTCCCCATGTAAAGGAAGAAGCAAGTGAGGAGGTGCAGGAAGAGGACGACGACGAAGAGGAAGAAGAGGAGGATGAGGAGGAGGAAGAAGAAGAGGAAGAGGAAGAGGAAGTGGATGAAGAGGAAGGCGAGGAAGTAGATTACGAGGAGGACGACGAAGAAGGAGAACAAGAGGAGGAAATACATTACGAGGACGAAGAAGAAGAAGCGGCAGAAATTGAAGATGAGAAAGCCCCAAAACAATCGACACAAAAAGCCGCAAGAGAATCCCCTAATGAAAAGGACTCGCGACCCATCCCCGACTCCAAAAGGGAAAGACAACCGAAGGAAAGGACAAGACAAAATGGCGAAAAAGGTAATAAGACTAAAGAAACGAAACGCAACAGAGAGAGAGAGAGAGAGACACACACGTGCTGTGCAAGTGTATATACGCCTTCAAACCGTTCATTGAAACCGATACACAATTTGTACCTGTGTGTAAATGGTTCTTACGTGAATTAGAACCAACTCCCAAAGTTTGCATTTTTTTTTTTTCCAATTTCATTTAAATAATATCTCCCCCGATGTATTCACATTACACCCACGAAGGTGACATGAAGGAGGAACACTCTCCGAGGAAGACAGAAGAAAGGCAACCGATCCACAGAAAGGAGAATCCATACAGACCTAGAGCTGATGATAGGGGAGGAAGAATAAACCATTCGAATGAACGGGAAAATCCCAGCAGGGGACCCCCCGAGAGAAATGGTCCAGATAGCTATCACAAAAGAAATGCGAAAGAGAGAGAATTCAATAGATTCAAAAAATCCATCAGCCGTAGTCGAGAAAGACATGTGAACGAAAGAGACAAACGAAATTCACGTGAGAAGGAGCAACTCTCTGCTCACATGCACAAGGATTCTAATAGTAATCAGAGGCCAGCGAAACATTTTGAAGAAAGAAACAAAAAAAAAGACAATTCGCATCCCACTGGAAGGAGAAATATGCAAAATGGAGAAAATATGCGTCCTGATAGGGAAAGGGATAGCAGGAACAAAGAGGAAGGGGAGAAAATGGACAGGAGGGATATGCAACGAGAACCGGAACGGGAAGGTGATGGTGAATGGGCAAGCAGGAGGAACAAGGACAGGGACATGAATAGGGAGAAGGACAAGGAAAGACACAGGGATCGGTTCAGAGAAGCGGAAAGAGATCGGGTCAGAGAAGTGGACAGGAATCGGTTCAGAGATGTGGAAAGAGATCGGGTCAGAGATGTAGAAAGAGATCGGGTCAGAGAAGCTGAGTGGGACCGAAACAGAGAAGCGGAGCGAGAAAGGGAAAGGGATCGACAATTTTTAAGGGAACGGGACAGGGAGCGAGACAGGGAAAGAGATCGCATGGGAGAAGCGGAGTGGCACAGGAATAGGGAGGCCGAGTGGGAAAGGAATAGGGAAGCAGAACGAGATCGAATTAGGGAAGCTGAATGGGAAAGGAA